TGTGACGGATCGGACAACTTCGACGATGTGCGGATCCGAGTTGATCCATTTTGCGCTTCGAGCACTACTTCCGTGACAAAGACGCCAAGAACGTCAGCAAGGGCAATGCAAGGTAGACGTAGATCATATTTATCCATAGCTTAATAGTATGTACGTACAAATGCCAAGTGTTGGTACATGTATTGATGTAGTTGCCGGACACTGTGTGTGGGATCGTAGAGCTAGTTTACTACGCACATGGTTGTATGAATTTGGAGTTTGCTAAGGGAGGGTTTTGCGCCGCCATGGGCGATTTCCCGATCTCGGCCTAGTCTAAGCAGATTCATCCTTCAGTCTACGTCAATATGTCAACCTCCGGATCCAGGAGGGAGTCTAAGTTGTCTACGTTTGATCCCGTAAGGAAGGAGGGCTCAAGGATGAACGCGTCCAGCAAGGAAGGGGGCGGCAGGGCCGGCCTTAAAAACAGATCCTCGCGTCCAAGGAGGTCAGATCAGGTTTCGTCCTACGTCAATCCGATCTTCGAGCCGACGGGTTCCTCTCAGAACCAAGCGCAGCTTCTGTCGATGTCGTCTGCTGGCGATGGGGGTGATCAAGGGGGGACCGGTGAGGGCCCTGCCCACCCGAAGTCGTCCGGCGGCGGCGCGATCGTGTTTGTGCAGGACCAGAGGAACCAGCTCTTGGCAGTACCCGAGGAGATTGGTAACTCCAGCAATTGGGACGAGAGAGAAAGCACGGGGATGGACGGACCGGCGGTCAGCCGGTCAGGGTGGACGGCGATGTGGACTTGGATGATGACGTGGTGGTCGAGGAGGAGCCTGCCGTGGAGCCGAGGGCGGCGCCGCCGCGCTGGAGGTTACTTGGCCGCTACGTCAACCAAGGGCGGCCAAACGTTGATGACATGACAGAGCACTTCAGCGACGTTTGGAAGGTTAGGTCGGGCCTGAACATTGCTCGGATCAAGAACAATTGGTATGCAGTGACTTTTTTCTCTGAAGGAGACTACAATTTTGTGGCTCGTGGGGGTCCATGGATATACAAAGGGAATGCTCTTCTTGTTGGGCAGTTTAAGGGAGGCGATCAGCCCTCTGAAGCTGAGTTGAATGAAGTTCCAGTTTGGGTGCGTGTGTACAATGTGCCTTGGGATAAACAGACAGTGGATTATGGGAACTTCCTGGGCGGCTTGCTTGGCAAGGTTCTGGAGGTAGATGCGGTGGTGGATGCAAGCAGAGTTCGTGAGTTTCTACGAGTTAGGGTCGAGCTGCCTTTGAGCCGCCGTCTACAGACGAGAATTACCATTGGCCGAGCCCCAACCAAACAGTTGGTGTATCCACTAAGGTATGAGAGGGTTCCTCACTACTGTTTCTGGTGTGGATTCATCGGACACGACGACAACCAGTGCGAGAAGAAGAGGCTGGGTGTTCCCTCTCGTGCTTATGATGAAGGCTTAAGGTGCTCTCCTTATAGGAAATATGAAAACAGATCAGCTTTTGTCGCCCCGGGTACACAGCCGGCTGCGCGTCGTGGACTCAACTTCTCAAGTAATGCTCCATCAGAGGTACTGGGACAGCCAAGGGACAGTCGGCGGAATAGGCGTAATCAACCACAGCAGCAGGATCGGGATATTCCGGCTCGGGTAGATGCGAGAGATGGTTTTGAGGACCGGGAGCGCACTGGTGCACCGGTAGTTGATGCGGAACTGTCATCACGAGTTCTAGCCATGAATATGAAACAACCTCAGCAAACCGGGGAGACCAGCAACAGGAGAGCCACCCGTGCAACTTCTGAACCTCCATCCTTTGTGTTCCTGGGAGGCAAGGTCGAGGCACCTATACCGTATGCTGTCCGGGCCCCGGCGTCCACCGCAAGTTTCAGTAGCAATGTTCACAGCTCACAGATGATTCCGGCCGTACGCAACTTGAATAACTTGAGTAATAACACCGGATTCTCATCTGAGGACTCTGACCAACACATGCAAGAGTGTGACTCGGTTTTGGGGAAGAGGCTCTCCAGGGTCACGTGCACTAGAGGGGCTGTTGATGCTCAGGGAGGTGCGATCATACTGCACAGCAAGGAGGGTGAGGGTAACATTCAGAAAAAAGGGAAGCTTGTAGACAGTGAACAGAACCAGCTCGAGGAAGATGGAAGGGACCTTGTGCACAGCATGGAGGGCATGGAGGCAGCCGGTCTTGGGGCCACCGGTAAACTGACGGGGCAGGCGGTGCCGCCCCGTCAGGAGCAATGAATTGGATAAGCTGGAACTGTCGGGGGGCGGGGAACTCCACGACAGTTCGCGATCTCGCGTCGCTTGTTAGGACGCATTCCTCGAGTCTCGTTTTTCTTTGTGAAACTAGGCAAAATAAAGAGAAGATGTATCGTTTAAGAAATAGGCTAGGTCTTTCTGGTTTTGAAGCGGTCAATTGTAATGGTCGTAGTGGTGGTCTAGCTTTATTTTGGCCCTTAGATCCAGACTTCCAGTACTGGAGAACAATAATACCACAACCTAGCTCCCGCGACGCTAGCAGCGACTCCAACGCCGCCGCCGCG